CCTGGGAGGGTGGGGAGGGGCTGGGATGGAATTGCCAGAGAATTCCTGGATCCCTTTGAGTGCCCAAGGAAGGCCAGGCTGGACATTGGGGCTGGGAGCAGCCTGGGACAGTGGGAGCTGTCCCTGCCCATGGTGGCACTGGGTGGGATTTGGGGTCCATTCCCCCCCAACCATTCCAGGATTCCCTGATTTATGCCCCAGCAGCTCTGGGGTGCTCTGGGCTCTCTCCAGGGTATTTTCCACAGCTCCTTGCAGCCACACACAATCCTGAGGGAACACAGAAACCCCACAGATCTGTGAACCCGGGCATTCCTGGGGCATTGGTTGGGGTTACCCGGCCCTGGGAGCACTTTTGGGACGGGCACCGAGGGTGGCACAGCAATGTGTGCCCAGAGCTGTGGTGCCACCTCCTGGGGCTGCTCCAGAACCCAAATCCCCTTTTCCCCTTTCCTTCCTGGAGCTGTGAGTGGGGCTGATGTGGGGTGGGTGCCCACGGTGGGCTGGGGGTGTGCAGAGTTTGGGGTCTCAGTGCTGTGGGGTTGTGCATTTTGGGGTCTCAGTGCTGTGGGGTTGTACAGTTTGGGGTCTCAGTGCTGAGTTTGTTCAGTTTGGGGTCTCAGTGCTGGGGTTGTGCAGAGTTTGGGGTTGTGCAGTTTGAGGTCTCAGTGTTGGGAGTTCTTCAGAGTTTGGGGTCTGTGCTGTGGGGTTGTGCAGTTTGGGATCTCAGTGCTGGGGGTTGTACCGAGTTTGGGATCTCTGTGCTGTGGATATGCAGAGTTTGGGGTCTCTGCTGTGGGGTTTTGCTGTTTGGGGTCTTGGTGCTGGGGTTGTGCAGAGTTTGGGGTCTCAGTGCTGTGGGGTTGTTCAGTTTGGGCTCACCCGCTGTGGGGTTGTACAGTTTGGGGTCTCAGTGCTGAGTTTGTTCAGTTTGGGATCTCAGTGCTGGGGTTGTGCAGTTTGGGTTCTCAGTGCTGTGGGATTGTGCAGAGTTTGGGATCTCAGTGCTGGGGTTGTGCAGTTTGGGGTCTCAGTGCTGTGGATATGCAGAGTTTGGGGTCTCAGTGCTGGGGTTGTGCAGTTTGGGGTCTCAGTGCTGTGGGGTTGTACAGTTTGGGGTCTCAGTGCTGGGATTGTGCAGAGTTTGGGATCTCAGTGCTGGGGTTGTGCAGTTTGGGGTCTCAGTGCTGTGGGGTTGTTCAGTTTGGGGTCTCAGTGCTGGGATTGTGCAGAGTTTGGGGTCACCCACTGTGGGGTGCAGGTCTGGCATCCCCCCAATCCCATTCCCGTGTCCCCACAGTTCTGCCAGCCCAGCGGGTGGCAGCTTTTCCCCGAGAAGAACCCCCCGACCTTCTTTGTGGCCGTGCTGACCGACATCAACTCAGAGCGGCACTACTGCGCCTGCTTCACCTTCTGGGAGGCCCTGGAGAGCCCGCAGGTACCGGGGCTGGGGGCTGGGGA